TACTGGGTTATGCCTAACACTCCCTCTTATTTTCATTTATGTCAGTGCAGCCGTTTTTGATATATGTTGCACACAAAAATACCACACGAAAATACCAAAACGTTACACACACGCACACACACACACACACCCCACCCACACACACAAACGTTAACACCCCAAATTACTACAAAGAAATGTCATTATTTTTAAGAAACTAGAAAATAAAATTAATATCCTTTGCAGCGGTAAAAATGAGTACTTAAGCCTAAATATATATCTATTATATCTGTCTCTTATACAAATACAAACTAAATCAGACAAACAGTATAAACCCCAATGGCAAATATCCCCACCAATGACGCAGGGCCATCGGAAGCACACCGGCCGCACAGGCTTTGGCCGGACGACTTTTTCCCAATTGTATTACTCTTAAAAATGAATATACTCTGATACCTGAATTTAGTTATAATGTTAGCATTAAATTGACTTTTTAATGTTGTATACCGTATTTAAACAAAAATCCACCATTTTCATTCACCGTTTCTGTATTGCACATGTACATTTCAACTTTTTTCACAATCCTTAATTTTAATAATTAAGATTGATTTTAAAAATCTTTAGAGATATACATATAAATAGTGGCCCAAGCCTATGTCGTAATTACGACATAAATATGTCGAAATTACGACATACGTATGTCGTAATTACGACTTATTATGTCGAAATTACGACATACGTAAGTCGTAATTACGACTTATTATGTCGAAATTTTGACATACGTATGTCGAAATTTCGACATATTATGTCGTAATTTCGACATATTATGTCGTAATTTCGACATACGTATGTCAAAATTTCGACATACGTATGTCGTAATTTCGACATATTATGTCGAAATTTCGACATAATAAGTCGTAATTACGACATACGTATGTCGAAATTTCGACATAATAAGTCGTAATTACGACATAAAAATATATATTTCAGTGGCCCTAATAGGCTTTCGTAGATATGACCTATTGTGCAACTCAGAATTAAAATCAAGTGAATAATTTTAGAATTGTGCAAAGGTCAAAGGTGAATTCAAGGCTCCCCTCTGAATTTTCGGAAATATATATCAAATAGAAAAACATAAAAATTGCATTCAAGTTTAAGCGTGAGGGTGTATTTCCGGCCACAAAGAATATTGTGTCTGGACCCTCCCATCTATAAAATTCGATCCTTGGGTCGATCCTTTCAATGTTACTTAATGTTTGCCTGTGGTTCTTACCGAATAATTGTTTAGTTTAGGACCTCAAATTTCTGTATTCAAACAGATTACCATACCAGATGATTAAGTACATTAGAATAACAGTATTAAAATGAATAGCTGGATAGTCTTCATTATCCCGTCAAACAACATTTTATTATTAGTTATGCATATTTCTATTCTGTAGGTAAATCAAATTCGCTGCATCAACTCAACGTACTGGATCCAAAAAGACGTTTGTGTGCAACTAGCCTTTACAGCACTGGCATTATCATCTTGCGCCATAAAACACTCAAATGAAAGAACATTTGTAACATTTTGTGGCAGACTATGGCAGCAGATAACAATGAAACATACGGTATCACACAACCTGTGTACATTCAAGAGATTGTACATCACAGTGGTAAGAAACTGCATTTGTTCTTTTCAAAGATTCAAAATAACTTACTGTTACTGTTACTGTTTTATTCATCATCATCAATAGATTACTTACATTTCAGAAGAAAAAAAAATTGTGTTTTTTTTTAATTGATAAATGAATGAAGTCATGTATAGGTCCGAAGGCACTTAAGCTCAGACCACCTAAGAAAAAAAAAACGACTAAGAACTTGAGGCTATAATTTAAAAATTAGAATTAAAAATTAAAACTAAAAATTAGTTTTTTAACAGTACAATAAATATACTTTATTGCAAACTTAAGAAAAATTTGAAATGTACAGAATAACTAATAGTAATATACAAAAATATATGAAACATTTAAAATATTCAATTAAAACTCTTCTCAACATTAAAGTACAATAAAAAATAACAATAATAATAATAATTTAATGTGATAATATTAAGAAATGTTTTAAAAAACTCCCATAAACACAACATTAAAATACAATAAAGAGAGAACAGTACAATGGCATAATAAAGGAGACAAATAAATACCTTCAAAATGTGGTTAGTCAAACGACAGGTTTATCCTTGGCAAATACAGTACATCGTAACATTGTGGCAGATATGTTTCAGCCAGGGCGAATGCGGTATAAAAAAGCTGGGCCTACAGCGAGGCTAAAGGGCAAACACTTTGAACCTCGATATTATGCAATTGTTAATTGCACAGAGCCTAGGTTGGAGATCAAGATGGAAATTAATTAATTTATGAATCATGGGATATCATTCATAACATAGTGTAAACAATGCTCTGTAGAAGTATTATGTATATGTGACACCTCCCTTTCTGTTAAAAATAAACATGTTCAAGAAGTAATTATAAACAACTAGCATCAAAACAACTATTCTTCAAATATGCTTTAAAAAAGAAAAAAACAACGTTAATGACGTGATACCAACTGGTACTTGCACCTGGAATTTATCACTAACAAAATACAGTGCATATGATGCACTGAAACTTATCACTTGGTAATTAGGCCTATTTGTACAACAAAAATCCTAAAAGCACTTAGGCATTCGCATTTTTGTTGGTCTAGTCACGACATGTTCCTCTGCCTGAGCGGGTTCGGTGTGAATCACAATTTTAAGAAGTGTCGATCACCTCTGTAGTATGGGCCATGACAAATTTCGCTAGGTTGGTCACGTGACGTAATAAGGCCTAATGGGTCGACAAAGAATATAGATCGAACGAGCAGCGAGCCCAAAATCGTAAAATCAACAGAATTGCATGATGGTAGGCCAGTGGAGTAGGGCGCCGCGTATTGGCAGTATGTATAAAAACTTGCCTAGTGTAGGTTATTCATATAGGCTACTATAGTGAGTTCTGACCCTATTAGGTATTTATTAATTATTCTAGGTCTATCTATTCTTGTTCTTATAGCTTATTATATAAGAATTGGATAGACTAGGCTAGGCCCCTAGCTTTCAAATAAAAAAAAGGAACATTACAGTGTACACTATTATGATAGGTGTAAAAAAGATCTATAGTACTAAATAGAGGTCTACTTCGACAAGGCCTCACCTAGGCGAGGTTAAAACAAGGCCTATTGATTATTTAATATTATTATTATTATTATTATTATTATTATTATTATTATTATTATTATTATTATTATTATTATTATTGTTATTATTATTATTATTGGAGTGATGTTTTTGCCCTACCTGACGTGTTATTGTACCGAATATACTCAGTACGATAACACGTCAGGTAGGGCAAAACATCACTCCCATGATATTTCCTGACGCAAATTCATATCTTTATAGCACTTGCAGTACCCGCTGCTACTAGAGGGGATCTGATTCATCACTAGATCACCAAGCGCAAGCTCGGTGGTCTAGTGGTTAAGACATCAAGCTAGATACCTGGAGGTCGTGGGTTCGATTATGTTATTATTATTATTATTATTATTATTATTATTATTATTATTATTATTATTATTATTATTATTATTATTATTATTATCTGATTATGTTATGTAAAAGTGTTTGTGCCGTAAAGCACATATTTGATGTTGAATGTTGGTTAAACTGCCAGTATACCAAATTGATAGGAAATTGAAATTTAGAGTTTTTCCATAATTTGCTTTTCTAATGCTCCAAAAGATACTGGCCCCAAACATTGGGATTTTTTCGAGAAATGCTAGGCCTAGGCCCCTGCATGTCTACGGCCTGTTTAGGTATGCACGAGTCTTGCATGCGCGAACTGCGATTTTGACACGATACGATTTCTAGGCTGCTTAGGATTTTTACAAAGGATCACATAAATTCAAAAGCATACAAAGCGCATTGAAGGCTAGAAGAAGTAAATAAAATACTATCTTGAACATCATAGTGCCTTTCCTTGCCAGTTATTTCTCACGTTAATGGTTGGCGAATGCTTTCGAAACTTTAACACTGATCACATTGTAAATTCTCCATAGTAATAGCCACTATGTCGCTGTAAACCAACCTCGCGGCGGAATGTGTCTTACGTACTAAAACAGGCTCCAGTTCATATCATGTTAATTTATGGCAACAACGAATTTCCGAATCAGAATTTTATATTGTACAGGAAAAACGTTGGTTCCAATTTTTTTGTGGAGAAGAGATATTCACCATTAAACAATTGTCTGCTGCTCTCTATTGGTGAACATTTTATTTTTATTGCTTTGTTGGCTGCTTTTCTCATTATATTGATATTTTGTCTTATGTTTGTAATTAATTTGATAAACAAATTCCATATTTATTCATGTTTATTTTTCTTCATTAAACAATGTAAATTACCATATTTGTTCATTGCATTGGCAGTTTTTCAGGTGCGTTTCCCAGTCTAGGCAAAAACAAAATCATTTAGCAGACTGCTTGATTATGAGAGCAATTGTAAACACCGTAATTTTTTTTTTAAATAAACGCCCTGAGGCTTTCATTGTTAAGAAGGGTTTTGAGGGAGCGTTTATTGTGGGAAGCGTTTACTCGAGGGAGGCATTTATTATAATAAATTTTTTTTGTGTGTGAATTAGATGTGTATATACTCAATTAAACGCCCGTAAATTTCACTACAACACATTTTTACTATCAAAATGGAAGACATTAAGTACTGGAGTAGAAAATTAATATAATCTGTTGACAATGATGTAGGCTTTGTTGACAGTCATTTGGGTGGGTGGGGGATGATAATTTGAGAAAAATATTTCAGGAGTTACAGAAAAAAGGTGACATGACATGTCTTGATATTAAAAGCTAGGACCCACAGGTCTAAATAATAATGAATTGTAGATTATGAATTTACCTACGGTAATAACAGGCACTTTCCATTTTAACTTGCAAATTAAAATTCTCCGCTTTGAACACCATCTTAGAATTTCTGTTTAATTTTGGAGCTAATACAAAATAAAAAAAAAAATGTGATTTAAACAGCTTCCATTCATCTTTGGCTTATCTTCAAGTAAGGCATACGTTAAGCATGGCTCAATGTTATAGCCCGACTTACTTTGCCAGGCGTTCAGACTAGCTGGATTAGCCAGGCGCGAGAACGTGCATAACCGTAATAACCAGGAAACCCTGGTCAACGAGAGAACCCCTACAGTGATTAAAGCCCCATTCCCGGCAAAATTTCAGTTTTTAAGAAAAATCTAATTTTTGTATAATGTTATAAAGATTTATAAATATAATACGGAATTGCTAGTTTAACTGAATTTAGACATTCCTAAGAATGAAAAAAATGTGAA